TTCCTCAATGACGTTTCGCTGAAATGTGAATCATCTTCGGAATCGGGGATGGTAGTTCTGGGCCGCAGACTGCGTCTCATGATCGTGAGACAAAAATGAAGCGTGAAGAAACGACAAAGTGAGGGTTTACTGCTGGTCGTGAGCGAGATACTGAACGAGAGGAATTTGTTAGCCTGCACCCATATACACGATGTGAAGTAATGATGTACTTGGCAAAGTCGCAGAGTCGGAGTAGCAGAACCGGGAGTCCAGGAGTCTGGAGGTGAGTATGAAAGAGTAGTTGCAGTCCGAAGGAGCAGAAAAGGATCAGATTTAAAGGGGAGTGTGAGGAAAGAGAGAGGATGGGAAAGAGGATGAATTGTAAAGGGGAGAAGTGATCGATCGATCCAGCGCCGGTGCCTGAACCAGAATTTTCTTCGCGGGCGAATCCGATCCAACTTCCCAAGGTTTCCAAGGTTTGAGATTCAGAGATTTAGACATTCACAGGTTCACTGTTTCACAGATTCAAAAACTTCACCTTCAACACTTCACCTTCCACCTTCACCTTTCACCTCGACTCTTCAACTCCGCACTCTTATCTGATAAGAGCGCGTTAAGTGAAACGCGAAATCGCCACGAGTCCAGTGACTTCCGAATCAAGATGTATTCCCTCCCCCTTTTCTATCGCTTCGTATTATTATCTAACATTATTCAGGGCCCAAAGACGACAGGCACGGAATATTCGGGGCCCGTATGCTTCCCTCTCCCACATATATCCCCAGAGACTGACAACTGCAGGCGCTCCGCTTTGACAGACTTCCTTGCTGTATGTCGGACTCCGGTCATTGTCGAGCGCTACTGACAAGTTCCAGTCAAACAACATTTCGGCGGCCCAAATTCGAGACGATTATGGCCGTCGAGCCACAGGGGCAGCACAGCAGTCTCCTGAAGTTGAAGCCGCTCATTCGCCCGATGCAGCTGAAAGTAATGGCTCTCCGGAAGCCAATTCCCCAGAAAATGTGACCAAGAAGCGCAAGCGACAACAGGCCATTGCTAGAATCAAAAATACCAAGGCTTTTGCACGCCGCAAGGCGCAACGCAATGGGGATGATGATGACGATGATTTTCTTGCCGGGCAGATGGTCGATGAGAAGCAACGACCCAAGCCAGGCCAGCTAGAAAACTGTGAAATTTGCGAGAAGCGCTTCACGGTCACTGCGTATAGCAAGACCGGTCCTAATGGAGGTCTGCTATGTGCTGATTGCTCTAAAAAGCAAAAGGGGGATGAGAAAAAGGCCCCTGCTAAGAAGCGTGGCCCTGGCATCGGTCGCCGTCAAAACCAAGCCAACTTGCTCGACGGTTTGACTCTTCATGGGACTCAGAGTCTGTTGGAAACGTGCATCAAGGTATGTTCCAAGACATGGAAGAGCTATCACAATGCTAACCTGGTGCCAGAAAGTCGCTGATCATATTCACGATGTTGATGAATTCGGCGACCTGCCTCCATCATTGCTTCTTCGTCTGGGTCAGATCTTGTCCAGAAGGCGGTCTGTGACTTCTCGGACTTTGAATCTGTTCTTGCGCCCTCGTTACAAGTCCATTGACCTCTTTGACTGTGCTAGTAGGTTCAAACTCCCGCGAGACAGCCAGAATCAATGCTTACATGTGTCCAGAACTTGGCACGGATGATTACCACAAGATTCTTGCCTCTATGCCTCATCTCACAAGAGTCAATCTACGTTTCACGACTCCAATGAAGGACCCCATTTTCGATTATATGATCGAGCGTGATATGCAAATCAAAGACCTTCATCTGGATGGGCCAAATCTTGTGACCGATGACTGCTGGCGTCGGGTTTTCATAAAGCTCGGCCACAGGCTACAGAGTCTGAAGCTCTGGAATTTGGATTCTGCTTTCGATGATGAGACTGCTACGGTCATGTGCAACAATTGTCCTAACCTTCAGCGACTGAAATTGAAATTCCTCGCCAAGATCGGCGACAACACGCTAAAGGCAATCTCCACTCTCGAGCATCTTCAGCATTTGTCATTGCATCCAATGCCAGAGACTAAGGCGGAAACTGAATCTCTTGTCCAAATAATTGCCGCAGTTGGGCCTCAGCTCAATACTTTATCTCTTGAGGAGTTTGAGCTTGTCGATGACCGTCTCCTAGAGCACATCCACGAGCATTGCCATGCTTTGTCCAAGCTTCGGCTTACTCAGAACGCAACCTTCACCGACCATGGATTGACCAACCTTTTTCAAGGGTGGTCCAACCCGGCCCTTATCTATGCGGACCTTCACTCTCTCCGAGATGTGGACATGTCAAATCCTACCGGTCCTCCGGAGCCTGTTGGGCTTGCATCAAATGGGTTTATTGCCCTGATGGAGCACTCTGGCTCAAAACTTCAACACTTGAACATTGCATCCTGCCGTCACGTATCCTACAAGGCATTCGAGGAGGTGTTTGCAGAGGACAAACAGTACCCAGACCTCAAGTACCTCGATATCTCCTTCAGCACCGCGGTGGACGACTATCTTGCTCAGTGCATCTTCCGATGCTGTCCATCGCTCCAGAGATTGGTCGTTTTTGCTTGCTTCAAAATCCGTGATATCCATATCCCTAGAGGTCTTGCCGTCATTGGCACTGTGGGTGCAACCCTCAAAGTCGATGGAATCACTCAGTCTGAAACCATTTAATTGGTATCAGAGTCTGAAGAGAAAGGGTAGGCTATCATCAATCGTTCATCTCAAAGAGATAATTGTGGGCCGTGACATAGCATACGTATTACGAATCGAGAAGACCGCCGTCTTAGGAAATTGAGATGTATACACCACATTCTTCTATAGTAAATCAGATGGATAGAAAAAAAAGGGTTATGAGCAACTCTCTACTTCCCCCACCCAAAAGTGACAGAGACCAACTACATGTACCAGTTGATGGAAGAACTTTAGAATCATTCATTCAAACTGATATATCTTGAATACAAACGCCGTAGCCTGCTTAATGAATACACAAAAATGATAAACGTATATCGTTAAGCCATCCACCTGGCATCTTAGAATGCCATTCTCTTTCCAATCTCACTTTGCCAGCCCCGTGTCCTCTCGAACCCGTTAGACGCAGTCTGGTAGTCGAGCATGGCCTGGTAGACTTCCTCCTGGGTGTTGAGCACGAACGGTCCATACTGAACGACCTTCTGGTCTAGCGGCTGGCCAGCCACAAGGAAGATGCGAGATTCCGAGTCCGCATTGTCTGGGACTGAGAGCTCGACAAAGTCACCAGCCTGGTCGAATTGGACATTGTGGAATTCCTTCACAACACGAGTTGAGTCGCTTGAGCCAAAGACAGTCTCGCCGGCCAAGGTGTAGGCGAACGCATTCCAGCCCTGTGGCAGAGGCTGCGAAATTTTGCCACCGGGCTTGATAGAGATATCCAAGATCCAGACGGGCGTGTAGGCCAAGTCGCGCACAGAGTCAACGCCGTGTGACTGACCAGAGATGACCTTGACTGTGACCCGGTCATCGTCAGGCTTGGCGATGGGGATCTCACTGGCTCGTAGATCACGGTAGCGGGGCTCGCACATCTTCAGCTTCTGGGGCAGGTCAACCCACAACTGCATACCGACGTTGGGACTGCCATCCTCATTCTCATGGGGCATCTCGGCATGCATGATGCCGCGACCAGCAGTCATGAATTGTAGGTCACCGGGTCCAATAGTACCCTTGTTTCCAGCAAAGTCTTCATGGTCCACGCCACCGGACAACAGGTAGGTGATGGTTTCCTGGCCACGGTGGGGGTGGTCTGGGAAACCGGCACCCTTGCCGATAGTGAAGTGGTCGAGCATGAGGAACGGACTGAAATTGCGGAGTTTGGCAGTACCAATAGAGCGGCGCACACGAGCTCCTGCACCCTCTGCTTGCTCAATGGCAAGGAAAACTTGGCGAATTGCGCGAGGAACAGCCATGTCTGTGACGGGAAGGACTATGGGAGCGGGTTGTTCCAGGTTGAGAGTGGTTGTCTGAGGAACAATAGCTTCTGTCTTTGCAAGAAGCTGTAGGATAGGAAATTTTTTGTCGATCAATGTGACAAGAGAGTCTTTGATAGATGGGTTATAAGCAAAGAAGACTGCTGTGATGCAAATTAGAAGAGACAGAGGGAGTTTCATGGATGGGAGGATCTTTATACTTTCAATCAAGGAAACTGAAATGAGTAGAATGTTAAGGAAAGGATGTCAGCGTTAGTCAATTTCTCATAAATACTTCGAGCCCTGGAGGTTGGCATGTTCAATTGCTTTGCAAGACATCAGTCAGCGATCTCGGGCCAATGACTCGCGGATTTATTACGAAATGCCCCGTCAGCAACCTCTAAGCAGGGGCTAGCCATATGTGGTTAGAGGATTAGGTCATCCTTTCAATCATTTCTGCTCTGGCACGTGCATCACGTGCATGTATGTCTAAGGATATGAGAGGAGATATAGTTAGAGATATGTATACTTATATAAATATGTTAGTATACGGAGTAGGTATATATATCTCAGTGTATTACAGAGACGATGCTGATATCCATCTCACATGTATTTATAGCCTAAATAGAAGCAACAGTGCAACTGTTGGCATTCTAAGTACCATAAGGCCAGTCCATGTGACTACATCTAATATCCTATGAATATGGTACTTGAATTACAAGTGTGTGAAGAGAGCCAGTGTGGCCACTCAGGATGTACACGTCTTTTTTGCGGTATGGCCAAGGGGACCACGTTATCAGATAAGGCCACGCAGCTCCTCTCACCTCTCAACACGCTATTGCGTAGACATACCCTTCTCTAATACCCATCTTTACTCCTTGAACTTGCGAAACTCGTATGCAATAAACGGAACTTATGAAGCGCGAATCATTCCCATTTGCAAATTGAAGCTTCTTGCGACTGCATCTTGCGCGGGGAAGCTTCGAGGTCCAATATTCGGATCCCACGGACTCCACCAGGGCCTTTGAGTATTCTGTGATCTGACCGGAAAGATGGGTCCGACCACAAGACTCTCACCATGGCTGGTGTTGGCATGTGCTGTGTCCAGTGCGTGGGCGAATAAAAAGCTGTTCAACATTAACGACGACATCCTCGCTTATCCCCAAGTACGTCAAATCTAGACCCTTTATACTGCATTTACTTGTATTCTGATACTCTACTGTCACTAGTATCAAGTGACTTTTCCCGAAGAATATGTCCTTGAAGCCCAGGCCGACGCTTTGCTCCAATCGCAAGCCAGCCCCGACGCAAGACAACCTAATAATGACCAGAACAACCCTCAGCTTTACATGGGCAAGGAGCGAAACGAATTTTCCGATTTTCCTCAAGAGGAGGTAGATCTAACTCCATTCGCATATGAAGAAATGATCCTTGATGATCGACGACTTCTCTGCCAGATACCGCTTGTCACAAAAGACGACCGCAATACGACAAGAGACAAAGGTGACAGCAAAGTCGAAGAGCAGAAGGAACTAGCTCGTGCAACAGATCGTGGTCTGGAGCTTCTACGCGAGATGGAAGGCAAATGCTTGTACTATTTCTCCGGCTGGTGGTCCTACTCTTTCTGTTACCGAAAGCAGATCAAGCAGTTCCATGCACTCCCTGTCGGTCGTGGTATCCCCCACTATCCACCGATTGAAGACACAACAACCCATTCTTTCATATTGGGAAGATTCATCGGGGGCAAGGGCGAGGAAGATCAACAACCTGGCAAAACCGATGTGGCAGAGCTTCATGCTAAGGGTGGCTCACGATACTTGGTTCAGCACCTCCGTGGTGGGACCAAATGTGATCTTACTGGACGCGAACGCAAGGTAGAGGTGCAGTTTCATTGTCACCCGCAGTCGACAGATCACATCGGGTGGATCAAGGAGCTTGCAACGTGCTCTTATCTGATGGTCATCTATACCCCTCGCCTATGTGACGATATTGCTTTCTTGCCACCGCAGCAGGATGAGGTGCATAACATTGAATGCCGCGAGATTTTGTTACCTGAAGAAGTAACTGAATGGGAAGCTATCAAGGAGTGGTACATAGTTAACCAACTGGCCGACGCAGCCACCGATACTGACGCCGCCCAGCCTGAACTTCAAATTGTCGGGGGGATCGAGGTCGGAGGTCGAAAGCTTGTCGGTATGGAGGGCAAGCAAATTGAAAAGGGTCGAGTAGCTTCTGCAGGTGAGGAACGTGTGGAGGTGGTTGTGAAACGCGAGAATGGTGAAATTCGCAAAATCTCCAAGCAAGTTCTGAAGAAGTATGATCTCGACCCCGAGAAGGTGGAAGACATGAAGAAGTTACTGGATGAGCAAGCAGATGGCAAAGATTGGACGCTTGAAATCGTGGAAACCAACGGCGTGATCATGTTCCAAGGCAAACTCGCCGAGGATGAGGATTGGGACGATGATTCGGCTTCGAAGAAATCGCCCCAGGATGCGGCATCTCGAGATGAACCGCCTACAGGCCATAAATCGAAGCAAGAATCCGAGCCAGCTGAGGAGCGCAAACCGGCACGGCAGTCTGAGGAGTCTGAAGGCGAAGGCAGTGAGACATTCAAAGATGAGCTATGACAGTGTATAGTAGATAATGTACATCTGAACATTTTCGATATTTTCGATATTTCCAATATTTCCAATATATCCCTTGAAGTCATCTTGTGTTGCCCACGCGTTGCAGATATGCCCGTTAGCTTCATGCCCCAAAGACGTCAGATGCCCCAGTTGTCGGAGAACCGTGTGGGGGCACAGTATTGAATGTTAAAAGGGGCGATATAAATCCAGAACTGGAGTCAACTGGAGTGCCTTGGAGTAAGATAGGAAAACAACGAAAGTATCAATTGATGTTCAAGTTTACAGTGAAGCGGGAAAAATAGCAGAGCATACGTAGGCAACGTGACTCTCCGTGAACTCCTACCGATCGCCCCGGCCCACCTTCCCACCCTCCCTGATCCAACCTTGGGACTCCATCTCCCTCTTCTCTTCTCCCTCAATCCCCTTAGACTTGTGTCTTTCCCCTCGCGCACTCTACCTTATCCCCTGGCTCCGCGCACTAAGTGCCAAGGCTGACCGAGCAGCCGTCACTTCCCCGTTCCCTCGACTACCCTCCGATCCCCGACAATTAGCGCTGGCACGTGTAGCAGACGCTGCCACTTGCAGCGGCAGGATCTTCTGACATAACGCTCGCTGGTACGTGAGATTACTCGTCATATCCACTATGGGGTTCCTCGGTGTCTACTCGGCTGTGTACGATTACCAGCCACAAGGGGAGGGTGAACTCGAGATTCACGAAGGAGACCTGCTGTATATCTTGGAAAAGAACGCGGAAGATGACTGGTGGAGGGCTAAGAAAAAGGCCGAGCGGGAGGATGAAGATGAACCCGAGGGTCTAGTCCCCAACAACTATGTCGAAGAGGTGAGTCTCAGAATGGTCATGGACTGCGAGAGCACCATGCTAGTACTCATCCACGGATGCACACGCGCCTCGTGATTGGGTGTGCCATACCTGTACAAACAAGAACTGATGACTTGACTTGCATAGGCGCAACCAGTACACAGAGCCACAGCCCTTTTTGATTACACGCGACAGACAGATGAGGAAGTGTCTTTCTCTGAAGATGCCGAATTGCTGGTGTACGATATCTCGGACCCGGATTGGACATTGGTAGGAATCAACTCGGATTATGGGTTTGCGCCGTCAAATTACATAGAAATCATTGAGAATACTGCCTCTGCTGCAGCGCATGCCCCTGCTCCACCTTCTGTCCCAGCTGCGCCCGCGTCACCATCTCTCCCACAGCGACCAGCGCAAGCCTCAGAAGAAGAAGTTGAGACATCGCCCGCCAGCTCCCCGATTGATGTGTCTCACAACCCCGCTGCTGCTGCGATTGCCAATATAATCCACAAACAGCATGCTCCCACTGGTGTCCCTACCGAGTCATCTAGAGATGAGCCTCCGCCACCCAGCCTTCCAGTCCGACCATCGTACGACCAAGCAGAGGAACGCAATGGGGAGTCTCCACCCCCGGCTCTACCGCGCCGACCACCTTCGGAGCATGCAACACCACCAATGCCTCAGTATTCGCCTGAGCCATCTCCGGCGCCACCTCGTCCTCAGCAGGCGGCGCCTCCTTCGCTTAACCGCGATGGAACTCGCGTCAAGGCTTCCCCACCTTACAATCGGGCGGGTGAGATGACACCGCGGTCTCCTTCGGGGTACCACATCTATAACATCAATGAGATGGTCGAGGTAATGGGCAAGAGAAAGAAAATGCCAACAACACTGGGCATCAACATGGTTACTGGGATCATTTTCATTTCTCCCGAGGGAGATGACCGGCAACAAGAATGGAGCGCGGAAAAGCTCACTCATTACTCGATTGAAGGCAAGCATGTCTTCATTGATCTTGTTAGGCCAAGCAAGAGCATCGATTTCCACGCAGGGGCAAAGGACACTGCTCAAGAGGTGGTCGCAGCGCTCGGCGAGATTGCTGGAGCCTACCGGGCTGAGGGATTGCGTGAGGTCCTGGAAGCCGGAGAAGGCGGTGGCCAAAAGAAGGGCCAGATTCTCTACGACTTTATGGCGCAAGGCGAAGATGAAGTGACGGTGGCCGTGGGTGATGAGGTCGTCATCATAGACGACAGCAAGTCTGAAGAGTGGTGGATGGTGCGGCGATTGAAGAACAATAAGGAGGGCGTCGTCCCTAGCAGTTATGTCGAAATCACAGGATTGGTGACCAAGCCACTCCTTCCAGAAGAACCAGGTCTGACGAGCGTGGAAAAGAATAGAAGAGAAGAAGCCCGACTGACCAAGCTTGCAATGGGTAAGTCACGGACGGACTCGCTGGATTCTTCGGACCGCCAGAAGCGCGACAGCAAATCGAAATCCAAACCCGATCCAAAAAAGGTTCGCAAATGGACGGATCGATCTAAGAGCTTCACGGTGGATGCGCAGTTCATAGGTCTCCAGGATGGCAAGATTCATCTGCACAAAGTGAATGGTATCAAGATTGCCGTCCCTGTCTCGAAGATGTCCGTTGAAGATTTGGAGTTTGTGGAGAAAGCCGCCAACGTTTCTCTGGAAGAGGATAAACCTCTTTCGAGCCTCAAATCTCGAGTCACTCCTGAGGCTAGCAAGTCTGGAGCTTCTGTACAACATCCCGAGTACGACTGGTTCGACTTCTTCTTGAAGGCTGGCGTTGGGCCACATCGGTGTGAGCGTTATGCACAAAGCTTCATTAAGGATTCAATGGACGAATCTGTGCTGCCTGACATTAAGATGGAAACCCTTATAACTTTGGGGTTAAACCAGGGTGACGCTTTGCGCGTAATGAAGGTCTTGGATACCAAGTACGCCCGTGTCGACAAATCGAAGCCTCGAAATGTTAGCTTTGGGGGTGAAGAATTTATTGGTAACGGAGATGATGGAGGGCAGGGTGGTCTATTCTCCGGGCCCGGTGGTACACTGCGCAACAACACTCGCAAGGGCAGGCCCACCCCAAGTGTCCAAGCTGGAGATGTTGTTGATCCAAAGGTATTTGGACAGACAGACGACTCCAAGTCACAGGATAAACCGGCAAGCCCGCGTCCTGCTGAGCCTGAGAAGCCTGTTGCACGCGGATTTGACGATGATGCTTGGGAGGTAAAGCAGCCAAAGCAGCCTTCCGCAACATCTGTATCTGCTACCTCGACTCCGCCAGCGGCAGCTCAGGCTCCGATCCAAAAGCAAATCACAGGGGCGATGGCGGATCTATCTCTGCTTCAAGCTCCTTTGCAGCCGACACCCGCACAGCCCACTGGCACCGCACAGCCAGTCCCGCCTATGCCGGCTCTTCAGCCGCAACAAACTACGGTGCAGTCACCGGTAGTCCAGCCCCAGCAAGCAGGTGCCACGCCCAGCTTCTTTAACCAAGTGGCACAGGCAGGGCAACAGGGCTTTAGCCCCCAGCAGACCGGATTTCAACCAACACAAGCCAGGCAGCGCCCCCAGCCTCCTCACGCCTTGGGACAAAACTCGCTTTTGCCTCCTCCCCCTCCGCGTCCACTGTCTGCGCCACAGAACTTCTCGCAACAACAGAGCTCCTTTGGTCCTCCTCCATTGCAGGCTCAACTGACTGGACTTCCCCAGGCAGGCCCTCCGGTTGCCCCTCCCGGACAGAGTCTGAGCGAATTGAACCAACAGCGTTTCCAGTCGACAATGCAGCCTCAAGCAACGGGTTTCATGGGACAGAACCAGTACGCAAATGGCCTGATGCCTCAGCCGACAGGATTTGTTCCACAGTCCCAATTCGGCATCCAGCAACAGCAACAACCATTCCCTCAGCAGGCTGGCTTCCAGGGACTTGCATCGCAGCCTACAGGCTTTGGGGGATTTGCGCAGCCCCAGCAACCAATGCCAACTGGTATCAACTCTGTTCTCCCTCCGGCATTGCAACCACAACCCACTGGTGCCAATGGCTTCGGTAATCAGTACTCTGCAACCTCTCCACCCCCCGTGCCGCCGATTCCCCAGCAGCCAACAGCCACTCCTCTGTCACCGCAGAAGACAGGACCGCCTCCGTCCGTCAGATTCGGTGTTAAGCCTGATGGTCCCAAGAAGCTTGAGCCCCAGCCAACTGGACTCAGGGCTAATCTCTCACAAGCTAGTATGTATTTTCTGTCTCACAACAGTACGAAAGATGCACCACTAACCAACCCAACAGCACCCCATAATCCATTCGGCTTCTGATCTGCTGTCTTCGCTTGGTTCTAGACTGGCGTATATAAATCCTGGTTATATGGCAATTGGGCTCCCTCCCCACCCCCTGCATTATCCTTATTTGATGTTTTGCGTGTTTCTGGGATATTCTCTTCCTTATTGCAGCTTGTCTTTTCGATGGTGCTGGTGTCCTTGGGACCGACACGCGTACATATCATGGCTCTGGACCTCATTCTGACGCAGCGCGTATCGAATCTCACGCCACGAATCATTTTACTTCCCTACAGAGATTCCGTACTTGGCAAGGCATCATATTCCCCTTTTGTGCTCTTTCTCAGATATGGTTATGCCTCTCCTGTCCCGCATTTCTTGCTGTCTCTAGCCTCTTGTCATATAATTCCCGTCGATGATGATGGTCATTGTGTGGATGTCTCTCTTTTTCCTGTTTCCTCTTGTCTTTCTGTGCTACCTGGATGGTCCATTTTGATCTTGTCCTTTACCAGTTCATACATAATCCAGCAACATGTTCGCAGCCTTTGCAGTAGCACATTTTCTTTCTCTGGACTGTTTCCAGCTTTCGATGATGTATGTACGGTGTAAAACGAAGCGAATCAACCCTTTTTGTCACCCCAATTTTGATTCCGCTTTCCATCTTCAGCTTCACGTATCTGTGTCGTAAAAGATGGCTTTAAATTGCATGCCACCAGGAAAATACGCTCGCTTCTACACCCACCTAGGCACTAATAGGAGTTTAGTTTGCGATAAATCCAAGAAATGTCGTCTACGCGGTCACAATGAGTAGAGAATCTGCTAGACTAGTATATGTAGAGTAAATCCATCAGCACCAGGGTATATATCAATGGTTAGGCGCGTCCCATTAGTCAGGTGGTAACAAAACGGCAAAATGAAAAGGAGTCATCGCAACATGAATATCATCCACCTCTCAAAATAGTAAGGCACCGAGCCGCGTCAGTACACCGCTTCCAAATAAACCAGCTTTCAAAGGACGCAATATCGCTGCTCGGTACTCTCTGAATCACGGCTCGTCCGGCCAGATACCAAAATTTGGCAGATCCTCGGCCATATACAGTAGACCATTGTCTGGGAAAATCACATCAGAGAGAGGAGAGGGGCCACCAGACACAGGCTGCTGTCCTGACGGAATGGTCCCTCCGGGAGAGCAACCCACCGGGATCCCAGAGGTAGTCAGAGCAGATATTGCTGCATCATAAGACAAAGCAGCGGCTTCATTTGTGCCGTTACATAGGGCGTCCCATACATCGTCACCGGCAGAGAAATGTGGCGGCTGTGAGGTGAGGAAAGAGGATGGTATGCCACTGGAAATTTTTCCGGGTGAGGTAGGAGGTGGCGCCGCCGCTGACGGTGAATCACCATTCGGTCGGCCAGCAGGAGGAATATCACGACCAATCCCTGAGGTCAGAGAACTGGGATCTTCGCCACCGCCGACTTGGCCGAAAAGCTGGTCGACCTGCTTACTGCGGCGGTCCATCCATTGTCTATTTCGTCGTGAGACATACTCGGTGACGGCCCCACGGAGGTACTTGATGATTTGAAAGAAGCGGCAGGCATGAGGATCATGCGGGACAAATAACCCAAGGAATCGTTCGGCCTTGTTTATCCCCTCTTCCAGGGGGAGAAAATTGTCGTAATCAGCGAAAAAGGCAGCGCCGAGCACAATGACGGAATTGAAGACGGAGTTGATCAGGAATGGTAGCCGTCGTGGGAGGGCGGCATAGTGGCTGAGATCATCGACAACATCCAAGCCTCGCAGCGCTGAATAGACACACGCATCGGCGAACAGTGCAATACGAGAGCTCCCGTTTCGAGTCTGCGGAGTGAAAGATGAATCGGTTTTGCCCTTGACATATTGGGCAACGCGATAGATAAGGAACGGCCGGGTTAGCAAAATGATTGACCAGTAGTATGACCCAAACACATGAGCTGCAGCTAGACTGCTTTCCATGGTTTTGTTTTCAAGTGTTTCGGTCTGCATCTTGAGGATTGTTGGCAAGGTTCGAACCCAGGCCCGATGCTGATTCGAGATGTTCTCTGCGACATTGATCGATATCACTTGTTTCATATAGACATCCGTCAGAATCCGTTCAAAGATCCGACACAATGAAATGACTGCAACCGAGAGCTGCTGTTCAGGTGTCTCAAGTGCCTGTAGTTCTCCCGATACAAGAGCAACATCGCGTATGTCATAGTCATAGTCAGAGGTTGCTGGGGGCCGGCCTAGCGAGGCACTGAGGAAAAGATCCATCATCCTGAGACTCTTCCAGACTCGCTCCCTCGCTCGTTGTTCGCGTCCACAAAACAGTGCGTTTGCGTCTTTCCGGTGGATACCCACGGCGTAAGCAGCTCGCAAAGCAATTCCAAGGTTCATAAACGCGCCATTACGTCTGCAGGCACCAAGCATGTACATGGAAACCAAAATGTATGATTGTATAGTGTGGATGCTGGGGGTCTCCTGGAATGCGGAGAACGCCAATTGACGACCGCTACCGAAATATTGCTCGGCCAAACTCTGGTCAATATCGGAAACCTGGGCTCCGATGGCGAGTACCAGATAGAAAATGGAGCTTACAGTGTCTTCATCGCCTGATGGGTTTGCAACCCAGTTGGCAAGTCGCGGGTGGAACTCTTTCAGGTCAAACAAATCTAGTAGCGGGCTTGTGGCAAGCACGAATTGGCGAGCTAGGCTTTGAGCCTCTTCGTCACTCGGAGGCGTCATCAGATGTCCAGGTTGCTGGCAGCTTGGGTTATTCTGAAAGGCCTCGAGCATGGAGTGTCGCGAGTTGTCCTCGGTAAACTCGCATCGGCCAATTGAAGAGGTAACGACACGGCGCACACTCTGTAAGAAAGACAAACTTGCTGAATCGCCAATATACATAAACTTTCCTTGGCCATCGCGAAGAAGTCTCGCCACTTTGGGAACTGGAGCCGTCCCTTCTTTCTCATCCTTGGCCTGTTGTTCCAGGTTCATCCCGCGGTCTTCTAGGGAGTTCAATAGTCGATCCATAGCCGTTTCCCTTTGCGGCGATGGTATCAGATGCTCGCTAAGCAACATTGTCGAGTCTTTAACGTCGGGCTTCAGTGTGCGTGCAGGCCGGTCCGAAAAATGACACTCTGATTCCTTGCGCCTCTGTACACATATTGTACATGGTTGCTCTCCGTTGCATTTCTGTTTCCGCCGTTTACAACTGTCGCAGGCTCGTCGACATCGGAGCCGAGCTCCTGGGGCAGTGCTTGCTCGAGGCATCCCGATCGCGCATATGGAAAGGCTCAGGCGTTTGGAGTGGCGGTAATCATCGAGGCGCGTCGTACAGGCCTAGACCGAGATGTGAACCGAACCCTGGAGTCAAGTCATTACTCTGGGCATGCAAGTTTTAATAATCAAGTGCGGGCGTCTGCTTTCCCCGGATTCTGCGGGATGACTCAGCATCCGATGCGGTGGTGATTGTGATTGCATGAGTGTATAGGTGACCTGCTCAGTATTAAGTGGTCCGCCACAATCGGTACAAAATTAATCCGAGGCTGTTAAAAGGTAATGTCAGCCTTCGTAAATTAACAATACCTTTTAGCCGCAGAAAATTTATAGGCACAACTAAGTCTACAATTATCACATTTCTTCACGTTTTACTATTTACTATTTACCTACCTTTTTATAGTATTCCCGTGGTTAGGTTCTACGTTTATAGTACTATACGTAGCTCGAACCTCGATAAATATATATTTTATGGGTATGTAGTAGTATATAGTATACTAGAATATTATTTATTATTTATGATAACGTATTTCACAAGCGAGCGGCCCAGCTCAAAACGCCATACTAAATGGGATAAATCACAGCTTGATATCTCAACAACGGTGTGTGTAAGTACTTCGCATTATAGCCTAATGCTTTTCATATAATATTTAGTCTATTTTAGGGACTTTGGAGAGTTTCTTGGACTTAGTGGTTAAGATATATATATTTCTGGCTCACAGCAATGTAATTTTCGATATAATGATATTGCAGCCTATCAATTTCCTTGAAGCTGACATATAGCATTTAAAAGTCTTATCAAGAGCTATCGACAAGCAATAAGGTAAAACGAAAACGTGGTTGTTAAGATATCAAGTTGTAATTTATCCCATTTAGTACGGTGTTTTGAGCTGGGCCGCTCGCTTGGGTGGGCCGCTCGCATGAGAATTACGTTACCTATTATTTTTTTGTTGGTGGGGGGAGGGTGAAATACTAGATAAATAAGCTATAACCTATTAGGGGGTTCTTTTATTGTTATTAATAATTTAAAAAAAAAAAAAAAAAAGTACTTATATTCGGCATGTGAGCTGGCCATCTAAAACACCACCTTGATTGTGATAAATTACAATTTTTAGGTCCGCCGCCTGTGGTCTGAAACAACGTCTAACCCTTAAGATATATCGTTATTAACTAGTTATTTATTATTAGAAATCTCTAGTCATTTAGAGACACCGCGGCCGAGATATATTTGTTTTCAGATGAAAAGGCAAAAATACATTGTAATTACTATAATATCGTTAATCATGATTTTATTTTTATTTTATTAAAGCTCCCCTTGCTACCTATTTCCGCTATGCTAAGATACTAAGTCTAAGTTCTAAGTGTAACTAGGTTTTGTTGTCGATGTACAGAGGTATCAAATCTTGCAGTTAAGGTGTTGTTTTGGGTGGCCAGCTCGCATTCCGAGTATGCTTATTTAGTAGGTAGGAAATAGGGAAATAGGCGGGAGGCCGGGGGAGGGGAAAGATAACACGGGCGGTAATATGGGGGGAGGTACCCCGGGCCAGTGGGGTAAGGCATAGAGAGAGATAGATAGTGTAACAAAATTACTCCGATAGAGCGAGGTCCACCTAGTGCAAACAGTGTAAAAAGTGCCGACTATGGCTGACCCACCTAGCAGGTTTCTCTAAGGGCTGAAGGGCACTCCAGAGGTCTCATTATGAAGTATACAGTGTTTTATACAATGAACTTTTCATATTTTCAATTCTTGAACAGGATATAGCTGGGGGAAGTTCATAACAGAAACGCGCCTCAAACTCCAAGGTCTATTACCAATTCGCTTCAGATGCAGATGAGCATAACTCTACGCTTTAATCATGAAGATCTAAATGATTCTGTAAGCAACTCGTCATAGAAATCGGAGCAAAGTAAGCCTTACCTCGTTGAGAGACTTGTCGTCCATCAAGGCCTTCTTTTTCTGGGCAATATAACGTGACCGGAAGACATTCCGCCCGATAGGCCGCCTCTCCCCTGATATTGTTGGTGTCGCTTTAACTTCTGGTGCCGCTTGAGTAGAAGTCTCAATCGGCTCACCGTCGGCCTTTCTTTTCTTGGACTTTTTCTTCTCTTTCTTCTCCTTTTTCGACTCCGAACTCGATTCTGTGCGATCCGTTTCCTCTGCCCCGGAGCGGTCTTTCTTGGATTTGGACTTAGGTTTGGACTTGGATTTGGATTTTTTAGACTTGCGCGCTGGAGCATCCGACTCGCTTGAGGTAGATTCTTTGTCTGCGTTGGATTGTATGGGGGCATCCTCCTTCGGGATCGGTGGAGCGATCTCAGGCTTCTGCTCCTGCGCCAATAGTCCTCCACTGACGAATCGGACCTCTGGGAACTTGAGGGCGGCATACCGAGCCAGTCTGACGTCGTCCCGCTTTCGTTCCTCCTTCTTCAGTTCCACATCACTTTTCCCGTTCAGTCGACCGAGTAGGCCCTTGAAGGCATCGAGACCTGTAGGCTCCATAGGGTCGCGTCCAATGCGAGCGCCCAGCCCAAGAGTGTCGTCCTTAAGTGTGACTTTGATATGGGAAGCGCTGGCGGCGGTCAGCATATCGGCGTGGGCGGCATCTCGTGCTCCCAGAAGACTTCCAGGCTTCCATCCCTGAGAACTCATTATCCGATGGCCGAACCCCGATGTGGAGCGGGTCCAGTTGGTGTTGTTCGGATCATTGGAGATCTTGGTCTTCCTGCTCGCGGGTTAGAAATAATCACAAAGATGTTAAAGCGATTGCATACTTTCGCGGCCCTGCTAAGCCCATGGTGGATCTAAGGAAGAAGTAATATGGAGGTTGAGGTTAGTAAAGAAGATTTGCAGATAAAAAAAAATCGAGACAGAGGAGCGAGATGAGTAAGCAGCCGATAAGGCGATAACCTTGGGCCCAACCTCGCGGGGACAACAACGTCTCTCAATCACTTGTGCTTTTATTTTTTCCTTTTATTTTTCTTTTGATTTATGAAAGATTGACGTGAAAGCTCTGCTCACCTTTAGTTGAAGGAGCCTTTCGATGGCTGTTGTATGTGGGATATATCACTCGCTCGAATAAAATAAAGACATTGCCGACTTGGCAATGACACTGCTTGTCTTTGCAGCCTGATTTTCTCATCATGTCCAATCTCCGAGTTCTTTGCCGGGATTATCCCCAGCGTACAATTGCGCTGGTCTCATCAGACCATGCTCTAGTGTTCCATTACACCTCAACCGATACCGGTGCAAAGGACCGCCCTCGCTGTCTGGTCGAGTTCTTGGACTTGACCTTGGCGGACCTGGAAGGCTACAGGCCCCTAGGTATTGGGTATGGCACCCTTGGCCTCGTCACTATAAACGAAGATGTGTTTGTCTGCGTGGTCACCGGCTCCTCGCAAGCAGCCACAGTACGGCCCGGAGAAATTGTGTCAAGAATTGACAATGTAGGCTTCTGTGGGTTTGATCAACATCTCTCTTTCAACCATTGAATCTGGTGTTAATGAAAGACAGATTGCCTGAATCGTGCTGAATACGAGTATGGCCTTGATTATGAGACTGGGGCTCAATTCGCCGCAGAGGAACGTCCTGGCATGGACGGCAAAGATCTGGTTACTGACCATCCCTTTTTGGCTCTGAAAAAGCTCCTAGGGGATGGAAGTTTCTACTATAGCCTTGATTTCAACCTCACGGACCGGTTGCAAGACCGGTAAAGCTTGATCGCTGACCAAAGAATATGACCTTAGGCTAACAGCTCTCACATAGGGTCGATAAATCTGCGGCATTTGATATCGATACTCTAGATGAAGACATGCTTTGGAACTCGTACATGATCAATCCACTTTTACTCTTCCGCAGCCACTTGCCACCGTCCGACAAGGCCAAACTTGATGCATCGCAAATGCTGACCTGTGTCATCCGTGGCTTTGCCAGTACGCTCAAGGTCCCAGCCACTGTCTCAATCCTCCCTCATGTGCGAACGAACTTTCCATCAATGTTGACAATCATATCACGACAATCCTCTCGACGTGCTGGCACGAGATTCAACTCGAGAGGCATTGACGATGATGGCAACGTTGCCAACTTCGTGGAAACCGAAACGATTTTGTGGGTTGCACCGGGAATTGTTTTCTCATATGCTCAAGTACGGGGCTCCGTGCCCATCTTTTGGGAACAGGCACCAGGTCTCATTCCCGGCCAACAAAAGATCGAGATCACTAGATCAAGTGAGGCAACACAGCACGCCTTCAATCAGCACTTTGAAACCCTCGAGTTGGAATATGGCGCTGTGCATGTGGTCAACCTCTTGAGTGAGCTGAAACCGGGAGAAGCGGAACTGTCAGCCAAGTTTCGAGACCATATCAGCAGAAGCTCAGTCAGACAGAAAGAAGGCGCCGGGATTTCTTCACGTCGAAGTCTTTTGCGAATGACCGAATATGATTTCCTCGCGGAAACTAGGGGCCCCTCTGGATACGAAGCCAGTTCCCAGATCAAACATGAGCTTATCAATTCATTGGATGGGTTTTCCTACTTCTTGTCGGAAGATTCTGCTCGCTCCAACAGCAGCCGAGCTGACACGGTGAACAGCTCTTCTGTTATCTTACAACAAGAGGGTGTTTTTCGGACCAATTGTTTAGATTGCCTAGACAGAACGAACCTCGTGCAGACCATTATCAGTTCGATGGCCTTTGAGTCATTTCTGTCTCAGCAAGGCGGCAGGCTCAGCGGAGATATGCAAGTGCGACATTCGACCATCTGGGCCGACAACGGCGATGCGCTGTCCAAAATCTATGCTGGGACGGGTGCCCTCAAGTCCTCCTTCACTCGACACGGCAAGATGTCACTTGCAGGAGCACTTGCAGATGCCCGAAAAAGCGCCACTCGACTATACGTTAATAACTTCACGGATAAGGCCAGACAAAAAACAATTGATCTTCTCCTTGGAAGACTAGCAAACCAGTTGCCTGTATATCTCTATGATCCAACCAACGATTTGGTTCTCGACGAACTGGACCGTCGAACTTCTGAATATTCCTCGCGGAAACAAGTCCGATTCTGGGTTGGCACATTCAACGTGAATGGCCGCGACGAGGGCCCTGGCACTGACCTCACTCCGTGGCTTTTCCCAGAGGTAGATTCTGCCAATGAAGACCCGACAATATTTGTTGTTGGATTCCAGGAGATTGTCTCCCTTAGCCCCCAACAGATCATGTCGACTGACCCCAGTACTCGCAAGGTATGGGAAAGGGCAGTCCACAATTGCTTAAACACCCATTCCAAGATGAAAGGGACTGGCAAGTATGTGCATCTGCGGAGTGGGCAGCTAGTTGGCGCTGCGCTTTTAGTTTATGCGAAAGAAGATGCCCTGAAGGACATTAAGAACGTCGAAGGCAGTGTGAAGAAGGTGATTGGAATACTCCTTTTTCATTCGTTCTTTTGCGGCTACTAACATCTACAGACCGGTCTCTCTGGAATTGCTGGCAACAAGGGAGGCTGTGCTATCCGCTTCGAATTTTCCAATACCAGTGTTTGCTTCGTTACCGCCCATCTTGCTGCTGGTTTTGCAAATTACGATGAAAGAAACAGGGACTACGATATCATCGACCGAGGTTTGCGCTTCCAAAAGAACCGGTCGATTGAAGATCACGATGCCGTGATTTGGTTGGGAGACTTCAACTATCGAATTGGGCTAGGCAATCCGAGTGTCAAAGACCTCATTTCACAGCGAGACTATCACAAACTGTATGAGAATGACCAAGTAAGTTTGACCGATAGGAATCTTTCGTATCTGTTCATCTAACAGCAAGACAGTTGAATCTGCAAATGGTGGCCGGTAGAGCATTCCAATTCTATTCCGAAGGCCCCATTGAGTTCCCGCCAACCTACAAGTACGACGTCGGAAGAGATCAATATGACACATCGTGGGTTCCCTCGCCGCACTTACGAAAGGAACCAACTAATAACTATACAGCGAGAAAGCGCGTATACCTGCATGGTGTGACCGAGTGTTGTGGAGAGGAACAAACCTGCGGCAAACGCACTATCAGACAGCCGATCTGAAAGTGTCTGACCATCGTCCAGTTTGGGCAACTTTCGATTGCGTTATTGACATTATTGATAATGGACTCAAGGAGAAGCTCCGGCGATCGATTTACGGGGAGAAACAGCGCCAGCTCAATGGTTCGCTGGGAGACTCGGTCTCTCTATTGGATTTGGATGATGACGATATGGTGCCACAGGTCTCTATTGCACCAGGACTACCACCAGCGAGCTCTGATCGGAACCGATGGTGGTTGGATCATGGTAAGTTTCAATTTCTTTGGTCTGAGACATACAGATGGCTAACTTGTGACTAGGAGCGCCGGTAAAAGCAACAGTGCAACCCGGCCCAGGGTTCGTCATAAACCCCCAGCGCAAGTCCAACCCCTTTGCCTTGGATTTCGGCTCTGACTGGGCTCCGAGTCCAGAATTGGGAGAGAATCGGAAATCTGGGCAAAGTGCTCAACTTGAAAGGAAGCCCGTGCTTCCTCCGCGACGTGAAACTTTGAATGAATTTCCAGCTGGTTCAATATCGCCGGGGTCAGTCCATCCTAAGGTCTTTAATGAGAAATCCCCACCAGTTGTCCCTCGCAAGCCGCTCTCATTGAGCTCGCAGACAAAATCCCGAACTTTCCCAATCGATAATCAAACAGGACATGCGTTGAGTAACGAGACTGCCACTGGAGGCTCCGTGGATCTTCTCGGGGATGCCGCCAGCGAGCAGATTGAGTGGAAACCCCTAATTCCTCAATGATTCCATTTAGGTGCCAAACTTGCTCAGGCGTATTGCTCTAGGACTAAAGAAGCCTGATATGTCTACAAACATACTAAAGAGCTTACGAACTCACCTTGATGATGTCATCCTCCATGTGCTGGCCTGACCGCCTTCTTCTCCGCCCGTTCACGCCGCCTTGGGACATCTATACAAGTGATTATTATTCCCAGTCGCACTTATATACCTCATTTCGGTGTAAAAGTAGAAATCAAAATATGCTGTATGAAGAGTCATCGCTTATTCACTGTCTTCTTCGGGAATCACCGGTGGAACTATTGTAATATACTTGGATTCTGCTATTTGCTCTATCACCAGGAAGATGGGATAATTGTAGTTTGAAGGTACTAAGGGTTAGATATATGGTTACCTATGGCGCCCTGAAATCGGGGAATTGGTACAAATTAAGGGGTTCCTCCCAAAATCGTTGACGTGTCAAAAAACAACGTGGCCTTTTTTTGCCGGCACATTCATGTCCTCGTGAAACCACCCCTAATACTTTCGTCTTCCTCGTATATATCCCCAATCAACTCATCATGGTAGGCACAAGTACGATATTCACATCATGGGTGGCTATTGACATTATATCAGGCACAAACACCCCAACAACGCAGAGCAAATGAGCGGTTCGCAAAGACCGAGGCTGCGAAGCGCGGCAAGGCACCAACCACAGTCAAACCAAAGAAGAATGGAAAGTCGCCAGTATCAGCAAGCTGGGTTGGTATGTAGGCGCTATCTGTTAGCTTGGGCCTCATTTTAACAACCTCCTAGTGATCCTCGCCTTTGTCGTTTGCGGCGGTCTTCTTCTAGAGCTCCTGCGCATTGTCCCTGAGCTCTGGTCAACCGTGGCCTCAATGTTCACCCGCATCACAGGATAATGGGCCTCGGACTCATATCTCAGACCTGAAATACCCGCGCCAATTAGCCCATGACAAACCTATCTCGAGTCAAGGCCCTCTATTTGATCACACCGGCGTTTGAGGGAG